TTAGTGTCACCTGCCATTGTTCTACGCTAACTCAAAAGCTCTCTTTAATAAAGAAAACTTGAAATAAGTTTACTAATGTTTCAGATTTATCAGTTTTCCCCTTATAGCCGTCTATATACTATCAATACAATTATTACGGAACAAGCTGCAGAGCGAAATGATTTGATTGATCGACCTTTTGACGGCACATAGCTCATTGATCAGAGAGCTCTTTGAGCGCCATTCCTTCTTCTTTATTAGGACATGAAAAAGCCACTTATATCTTGAAACAAAAGATTTTTCTTAGCTTGGAAAAGTTTTCGAGTTATTGGTGACAGTTTTCGGATCGATTGAAGGCAATCGAAATGAGCACAGTAACATGTTTAAGGTGCGGTATTTTCTGTGCATTATTCAATGTGGAAATGAGTATTTTTGATTAAATTGTTGAAGGCTCTGATTATCTCTGCTATGCAAAAGAATTTTAGCATAATTTCGTTTATTGGTCTTTACCTATGGAATTTTTTATTTACCAAACAGGGGTACAAAAACTAATTATTGTTAACTACTTGTTTACGGAGCATATATGATTTCAAAGAGATGTTTTATTGAAGGACCGTTAAGTATCATTCAAATATCGTGAGATAAACCACGCCTAGTTGCCGGTTAGTAATCATTCTTGCTAACTGACAGTGTCCCAAGATAGAACTGTTATTTTCAGGGAAGTTCTTTGCCTTCCTTTAGCTTTTTTTATTTACGATACATTGGGTTTCGGTTATTCTGGGAAAAGAGGAAATTTTGAAAGTTGAAAAAAGACTTTTATCAGTTCTCTAAACTCACTTGTTCACTTCATTTACTTTTAACCAGAGGTCTGCAGGTTTAGTAAAATTATAATGGTGTTTATAGGCAGTCTCAATATATTTATTGAATGAAGAAGAACAGGGAGAGGGAAGCGAACGAAGACAGATACAGCTATGACAACCACTGGAATTTATTCATAAAAATTTTGTTGTTAGGAGACGGAAACATTCTCTCAAAAAATTTGTTTTTTATTATTCCTTCCACCCCAGGAAGTTGCCTCACAGAGAGGACTAGGTAAACGTATTTTTTCTATTTCAAGTAAAATTGAGGTGGCCTCAATGCTCTTTCTTTTGTTTTTTGAATTAGTTGAGAATACTTCATAACTGTTAGTCATTCTAAAAGTTTCTTGATGGGTACATGGTTTTTACTTCGCTGTCATCTATATCACAAATGCGACGGTATCTGAAGAGAAGCAGTATCTATCACAACGGGCGAACTTAACATTTCTGTTATTTGAATTTTTCAGTTAAATGGATAATATATGGCTGAAAAGAATTATGCCTATGTTGGTAATCACTTTGACGATAATTGCTATGATATTCTTTGGAGGCACTTATATGCGGGTGGCTAATAATGGTTATCAGCCGGTTTATAATACCTTAACAGATGAGCTGATAGTGGTAACTAAAAAGTTATATGATGTTCAAGATGAAGTATGTTTTTAATGTATATAAAGTATCCAAAACTTTCCATCTTTACTGTGCTTTACCGATGAATAGCGCGAATCAAAATTAAGCTTAAGGCTGGTCTTATAAAAAGGTCAAGTTGTGAAACGATCCTATTTTTTAGCCTAACTTAGTTGCTGTCGTATTGGAGGAAATGCATTACGAAACGTTGTTTCGACTAGAGACTAGCTCAGGTGGAAAAAGGCAAGAATGTTATCTATCATCGTTTATAATGGCTTTTGCTGTTATCAGTACTTTAGGTAAGCTAAATTATTAAGTTGCCGCTAAATTATTAGTTTTAAAATTCAGTGTACAGTAATTTTAAATTTAATTTTTCAGAAGTTTTTTCTTGGTTTTTCTCAGTTTGTTGAAAGAAAAATTTGGAAAAGGCAGGGAGGGGTACCTTATTGCTAAATATCTGCAGATCAGGATAAAGCAGTGAGATATTTTCCAATCAACTTCACTTGGTTTGGAAAAAAGTTTGCTTTCAGAAAGATGTTGTTGCGGGGCTTTCAAATGTAAAATTCCAAAACTTGTCAAAGTTTTTAGTAAAACCTCAAAGTTTTTCTTCTTAACTTAATGTTTAAGGCGATTACCGAACCGATGACTCTTCTATGATTTTCTATTTTCCGTATAATATTATCTGTGGTCTCCTGTACATGTTGCTGGTTGCACTACTAACGAGAAGCTTGACACGGTTGTTTGACGATTTGTTCGGTAGTCTTTTCAAGTCTATTGAGTTTTTAAGTAAAGGAGTGGGGGCTGCAAGTGAAATTGAAGCTTTTTCAGGACATAGGTGCTGGTTTTTATACGCGTTGCTCGTAGACCGTCTTTAGCTTGGATCGGTTTTTGTTGATTTGAATGAAAAGAGTTGTCAGTGAGTTGGCATGAATACATATGTGGTGTTTTGAAACATTCGTTTTACAGGCAGCGGGCTGATAAATGACACTGACAGGAAAAGGCTTGGAACCTCAAGTGATGCCTTCAGCCCAGAATACTTTTACTTGCATCTGAAAAAACAAAGAGCGAAAAAATGCAGTGCTGATACTGATGTCAGTCGTTTGTTACTTGATAGCTTTTGTATTATTAGGAACTTGCTCTATTTTTATGAAATTTAGAATCTATTTAAGTTCAATTTTTGACTCTTTTACAATAACTTTTGCTTGAAAAAGAGTTTCTTGCTGGTATTTTCAGTTTCTGAGCAGTTTATAGGTTGCTTTTGGAGGCAATAAAAGAGAGTTATTTGCTGCCGAAGTTCGCGATCTGAACGACGTTTCTCAACCAGCTTGTGCTATGCTTCTTATTGCCCTGTTGACGTTATTCTTCCTTGGCGTGGCGTGGTTTCTGATTGTCCCTCAAAATACAACTCTCCTCCTCTCGGTTTTGCAACAGTACAGCCTAGCTTTTACTATAAGTTAGTCATTTCATCTTTCAAAATATTTTGGCGTCTTAATTTTTTAAAACTTATACTTTGCTTTAGCAATAAAAGCCAAGGCGAAAAAGTGGTTTTTACATTCTTTTTACAGGGTATATGTAATTTCAATACTACGGTCTCTGTTGAGAAGTAATCTTTGTTTGAAAAGTTTAGTTTTTTTTTTTTCAAATTGCTTTTGTAAAACAGTTTGTTTTATTTAGAGCCTTAGTTACTATAAAACGCAGACTCCAGTAGGCAGACGAGCAGAACAGCCAGCATTTGTCAGCACTTAAGCAAATGTATTTTAGCAATGCCAGACTTCGTTTATCTTTACAACCCGGAATGGACAACTCTGATCTATTTTCTGCTGAATTTTTACATTGGCAACATAGTGATGACGGCAGTGATCGCTCGTATTGGGATTGCATTTTCTGATTATTTGAACGAGGTAGTGAAGAAGAGCCCACCAAGAAACTATCAAGACGAATTTAACATTAATCCGTTCTGGATCGACTATAGTTCGTATGAGGAGAGAATGAAACGAATTTATCCTTTTGTTGATTTGACTCTCAACAAAAATTCGCAGAAGAAACAAAAAAAAAAGAAACCCGTGAAAAAAAAACCTGCTGAAGAGGAAGAAAATGAGAGAGCCGTGAAGGCCAAAGCTGCATGACAGACTTTCGGAACTGATGGATGATTTATAAAGAAGCTTTATTTCGACTGAAACAGTTAATATTTTGCATCTTTGTCTCTGTATTTTTTTTATTTTACCAAGAAAGCTTAGACAAATAGACCCCCTGTATTTTACTTCAAAATTACAATTATCAATGAATCAGTTAGTAAATGCTTTGTCATTGTCATTTCTGCCTACTGACAAACATTTCTCAATAATATGAGCCAGGCTTCTTAGATGTTGAATGGTAAGGCAAATCTTAACATATTTGTATATCTTTTATACTTCGCAGAAAGAATTGCAATAGATCTTAAATAGTTAGGTGAAATTTGTTTGGAAATATTGTTCCATCAAATGTAGTGTTATTGCTGGACGCTCGGGACAAAATCATTATGAACGGTTATTTTGGATGTTGAAAGGAGTTTGTGGCCAATTATCTTGACGGAGATAGTTCTTGAATTTCTGTACCGCGTATTGATGATGAATAAGAATAAGATAACTGATGTTTGCAAACAAAGAAGTAGCAGCCAACACTTGTTAGAAAAAGACGAAAAATACACACGAACACGTCATTTTTAACTTTATCCTACTGCTCACTTTTCCAGTGCAGTAAACCATATTTACCACCATCAAAGATGTGGTAGATGTTTCGTTTTTTTTTTTTTTTTTTTTTTTAAAAACAAATTTTTTTT